TCTTGTCGAAGTGACTTGGTTTCTGATGGCGCAGCTCCTACGAGAGACAGATTTCTACAAGTGGCTTCTACGACAAAAGTGGTCTTCTGCGGGAGTGATCTGTGCAGATTATTGAGTAGAGAAGACCCTTCTGGCGAGGGCCCATTCGCAGGAACTCTCTTCTGTAGGAGCGCTCCTACAGAAAGAGTCTGAAACACACTTCTGTGAGAGCGCTACAGAATTTTTTTCGGAACTCTTCTATGGGAGCGCTCACACAAGAAGATTTCGGAACACTCTCTTCTGTGAGAGCGTTCCTGAAAGAGTTCGAAACTCTCTTCTGTGGGAGCGCTACAGACAGAGTTCGCGGAACTCTTTCCGTGAGAGCATTGCAGAAAGAGTTCGGAACTGTCTTTTGTAGGAACGCTACAGAAAGAGTTCGCGGAACTCTCGTCTGTTAACGACTCCTCGACAGAAATTACTTTCTAGCACTAAGGGGCCGTTCTGAAAGTGCGCAAATTTCCGCCCCTTCGGAAGTTTCGAAATGAACTGATCTAGACCGAAAAGGCAAATCTACCTGCGACATTGACAAATTGAACACACGTGACGCATATTTTGTAACTGCGGAAATGTGCGTAACAGCTGATAGTTTCATCACCTGAAACTGTTAAACAATTACGTTGAGGCTGGTGAAAATTACTAACTAAGCATGTGCTGTGATTTTTACCTGCCATGGCTGACTTGGCTAAGTGCAGTTGGAAACAGTTAGTTCTAGTGGGAACGTTCTAGCAGTGTTCAATGAGATTGTATTAGCGTTTGCCTTGTGTACCATAATTTGTAATATTGATTCTAGTGAATTTTGTGTGAATGCAAGCTTTGTAAAGCTATGCTGTTGAACACACAATCTTTAGGCTGACTTCTCCTTGGAGAACTGCAGAGCTAGAGTAGCTTTGTTTGCGTCAGGCACTTTCGCAGAAGCTCCCGTTATAGCAGAAAACTCTGCATGGTCCGGTGAGCGTGGAAAAGAACACGCGAACGATTGGCGCTGAAACCAAGACATTAAGGTCTCGTAGAACGTCTAGCTTGTCGATATGGCGGATGACGATTCCTGGAGGGTCGCGCAGTTCAAGACGCGGTATGTGGCTAGAGGCTTTAGTCAATGAGAGGGTGTGGACTTCTTCTGGACCTTCTCCCCTACCCCTTAGATGACTACTCTTTGGGTGCTCCTCCACATAGCCGCACAACGTGACTACGAGCTCCACTCACTAGACTTCTCCACAACCTTCTTGCAAGGCAACCTTTATGAGCATGTCTTCCTGTTGTGCCCACCAGGCTTCACCGAGTCCTTAGCCCCTAGGACCCAGTAGAGCCTGCATCAGGCACCCCGTTAGAGGCACGACACGCTCCGCACTACACTCACGACTCTTCACGTCTTCCCGTCCTCTGCTGACCCCTTGCTCTTTGTTTGTGCTGGTCAGACTCCGTTCTACATACTTTTTTACGTATATGATCATTGTTGGCTACTCCAGACAGAGTCGCACTCGACTCACTGAACGCCGAGCTACTTCGATGACACGCCTGTACAAGAATGGGAGAGCTCCCGCGCTATCTGGGCTTGGAAATCTCTCATGACCGTGCCGTGTGCACGAGCATACTCTCCTAGTCCCATATGGTGCAGCAAATCCTCCCTCGGTTCGGCCTTCAGTTCTCGTCAATATAACCCGCCCCTTCTGCATGTGGACCACAAGCTCTCAACTCCTGTTTTCGGTGAGCAAGTCGAGCCTAGTGGTCCACACGCAAAGCTGATGGGGTGCCTCATGTACCTGATGACATACAGTACACTCAAGATCTAGCGTACCCTCTCAGTATCCTTGCTCTCTTTGCTGCGACTGGTAGACACCGACCAGACCACTGGTCGGCTGCCAAGAGGGTGCTGTGGTAGCGAATACATTAGGATTGGGGCTTGTTCTAGGAGGGCGGGAGCTAGTGGTCCTCACTAGACACACCGACGCGTTGTGGGCTAACGACTTGGAGACACTCAGGTCCTTACATGACTACTGCTTCAGTCTTGGTGCAGTTGCAGTCTCGTAGCGGTCCACTAGGTCGTCATTTGTAGCTTATAGCCTTTCTAGGTTTCATGTTATAGGGTACAACACTTTGAAATATCCTTGTGTCTTGCCTTGGCTAGTCAGTTTTTCTCTCGATGGGCGAAACTATGTTGACAATCAAAGCCCACTCCACGAAATTGTAACATCAACAGCTTCATAGGCATACCGTACACCCTTAGCTATAGTGATTACACAATCTGCACCATCATTGAAGCCCAGTACAGGAAGGCATGAAGCAAATGAACATCTCGGCAGCACTCAAATATGAGGCGGGAAAATGTGCTCGAAGAGCACTCAATGAGCACAAATGTGCTAAGCGCACAAAAAGGCATGCAGCTCAGCATAGGCCGCATGTAACGCATGGTCGAATCCACCCAACTCCCAGGTGTATATGTGACGATAATGAATCACCTTATACAATCCTAAGAGTAACACTCGAGCAATAATACCTGCCTGTGTGTTATAACGCCTATCGAGCACGCGCCTGAGTCGAGTTGGGAAGTGCAATGATCATTGACCGTGGACGAGCAACCCAACAGTCAGAAGTCAAGAGTCTGACATGACAGCAAGGACACATACACTTACCCAATATCACAGGCCGGGCAGAGTCGTGCACGGTTACGTAGTCGGATCTCTGTGTCAAGACACCCACTGAGATTTGAACCCGAGACCTCTGGCTCTAATGCCATCTTAGAAGCATAGTCGCTAACCATTGACCTAAAACGATGTTTTATTTTTATTTTTTCTTAGCGGGTCAGCGTGCCTAGAACCCCCCATGGATAGAGGCCTGTGGCCCTCCCGAGGATCTCTTGGGCAACCCCAATGGGTCTCTCAACAACCCCCCCTCACTGGGGTTTCGGAGGACTCTGGCACTCCTACTGGTGCGAACTAGGATTTGAACCCGATAGCGTTGGCTCTTACACCATCTCAGAAGGCACAGCCGCTAACCACTGTGCTACACTGACGGAAACAATTGTGCGTATGTTTTGCATAACTTTGGGCTTTTGGCTTTAAGACCACTCTATATTAAGATTTGGGAGGAGCACATAGTGGATGTGTTCACAGCACAAAACTTCAGAATAGTACATTGGATCAAACTCACACCCCAAATTTTATACAAAGAGTACATCTAGGCAAATAGTTCTAAGCACAAAAAGCAAACTTCAAAACAGCTTCAGGTACCTAGCTCAACCACCGGCACCCTCCTAGGCATGTTACCTACGAGGTTAGTACAAACCTTGGCAGGAATCTTCTGACACTCTTCTTGGACCCACTATTTTGCATAAGGGGATGAGCACTAGGAAAATTGCAAAGGAGTTGGACGTAGGCATGAGTATTGTGGACGATTTCGAATTGAATGGTATCAGTAAGACTAGCCTTGCTGAGGTGTGACCAAAGATGCCATTAGCCGGTCAGCCCCGTCTTATCACGGATCGTCTTTTTCGTACCGTTGTAGGGTAAAATCAAGAGTAGAGCGGTCAAAACTAGCGTAGAGCCCGCGAAACTTAAGGTAACGTACTACGGTCAAATGTGCACCATTAAAATCACGCTAGGATCCTTGGGCCAAGTCGCGATGCAGCAGTCGTAGAAGCCACGTCTGCAATTCGTTGAGTCGCATGCTGAGTGGACAATCAATGTTCGGAAGCATGTGATATAGTTAAATGGGATCAAGATCAACTGCTTCTGCTCCAATGCCCGCGCGTTGCCTGGATTCGTGAAGGCATAACCATGCAGCGCCACCAAATCAAACAAATTGCATGGTGGCACCATGCTCGGTGATGGTGTGCGGATGTATGACATGTGCGAGGGTGGGGTTCATATGCAACATTGATGGGCGCATGGATAGGCCCTTTTATGAGGTTTTTTGCACGACGAACTCGAATCGGCCCTCGATTTCTACAGCATTTCCCCCTCTGAGGTCATTTCGGAGCGGACAATGATCCTGAGCATTTGTCATGCCTAGTGCAAGAATGACTTGGAGAGCATGAGTATGTAGCGCTGGAGTGACCTTCTTCCTCATCAAACCTCAACCTCAGGGCTTACACGAAAAGGGAGCTGGCCAAGAAAAAATTGCCTCCCTCTGGAATGCTGGGGCTTTGGGAGCCGGTCTAGGAACAATGGTAGAAGATCCATCAAAGTTTTGCTCGCTTCCCTCCGTAATTTCGATGTTGTCTCGGCAGCGTAAAAATGGGGAAACAAGGGGGGCGGGTCTAAACTGACTTGGTATAGCACGGAGCAAAAATGACGGGTCTTATTAGTCGAATACCACTGTTAAAGCCCCAGTCTAAAATAGCAAACCCCATTCAAGTTGGACCCAGCTTGAAGAAGCAAAATGGGCTTGGTTTGAAGAAGAGTTGGGGTTTTTTGGGGGGTGGAACGGGCTAGGTTCGAAATAGATTCGGACGCAGTTTGTGCATTGAAACCATCAAATTCGGTGCGGAACTACTGTTCATTTGCTCATGTGACGACGATCTTGTTAACTTAGGAAAGCAAGGATGCTAGGAGGTAGGGAAGGCCGCCATGGCGTGGCGTGAGGAAAGTAGATCTAGGAGCGGGTAGAAGAGAATGTCGAGAAAGAAGGGGTTGGACTAGGAAGAGAGAGGAGTACAAGGAGGGGTTTGTACCCTCTACAGAAAGGTTCAGTAACAACCTACCAAGCCTATATTAAATTATAACTTATATAATTTTAACAGATCTTGCCTGTCGTAGAGCCGGTGAGGTGTCGCACTGGTTCCGATTCCCCCATGACACCCGGGAAGCAAACCTGGTCCCATCCCAACTTGAAAAACGAGTTGGGTTCCATGCGATTTCTTCTTACACGCGAGTTGCTCAAGTTGTGTAAGAGGGGTCGCACCATACATTTCGCCAGGCAGTTTGTTTCGTCAGCCAACCATAAGCTAGCTGTTCGTTTCACACTCCTTTCCATCCGAAATCCGCAACAGTAATTCTAGTCAGCCATCCTATACTTAGCTCACCTTTGCAGACGCAAAAGGTTAAAGTTGGGCCCACCTTCGCTACTATAGCCTGTGGCTATTGAGACCCAGTGGGTACTAAAAAAAAACCGGTCCTATGTCCGGGGTTTTACGGTATGCTAAAAGCCTAATTGTACATTATACAGTGTTATACTCAAGGTTTAGGGGAAGTAGAAGGCCGCTGAGCTAAAGACCGAGGCTACAAACCCTATCAAGTCAGGCGGTGCTGAAAACTGGAGGGAACAACAAGGAAAAGGAAAGAGCCGGTTGCGCTTTCTTTGCAACAGATGGGCTCTTACGTTTTCCTCTCCCAGCCACTGCTGTGCACATAAGCTGGCCATCCACTGCTACCCAGCGCATGATTTGTTCTTCCATTGCAACGATACTCTGCCTGTCAGCGGACGTGTTGTAGCCCCCATGCATATCCCATCCTGCTCCCCTCTTCCATCACATCTGCATCCCTCCCTTCCCTTCCCTCCTAAAACCTCGCTTATTTCCTCCGCCCCTAACGCTCCCTGCCTTGCGCCCCTATGCCCTCTGCCTTGCGCCCCTTGCTCCCACTGCCTTGCTTGCTCCCCAACTTCCCAAACCCCCCCCCCTCCCCCTCCCCCCCGCCTTGCTCCCCTCACGTCCCCTGCCTGGCCCGCCGCCACTGAGCCAGTGTGCGCCCCTCAACGAAGATGGTCGTTCCTGGGTTGCGATCCTCCCTGCCCGCGTGCTGTGCGCAGTCAAGAGGGCATGGGGGGAGAGTGAGATTGAGAGGAGAGCGTGTGAGAGGGGAAGGGGGGATGTTGATGGAGGGGGAGAGAAGAGGTTGAGGTTGAGAGGGGAGCGGGAAAGGGAAAGGGTGCGGGTGCTCTGTGAGGTAGGGTGGAAGGCAGGCAGGCTGGCGGGCAGGCAGGCAGGCGGGCAGGCAGGCAGGCGGGCAGGCGGGCAGGCAGGCAGGCGGGCAGGCAGGCAGGCGGGCAGGCAGGCGGGCAGGCGGGCGAGCGAGCGGCCGGGCGAGCAGGCAGGCAGGCAGGCAGGCAGGCAGAGAGGCTGGGGGGCTGGCAGGCTGCCGGCCAGGAATGCAGGCTGGCAAGCGGGCGGGCAGGCAGGCAGGCAGGCAGGCTGGCAGGCCGGCAGGCTGGCAGGCTGGCATGCTGGCAGGCTGGCAGGCTGGCATGCTGGCAGGCTGGCAGGCTGGCAGGCTGGAAGGCTGGCAGGCGGGAGGATGGGCGAGCGAGCAGGCAGACAGGCTGGCAGGCAGAGAGGCGGGCGGGCGGGAGGGAGGGCGGGGAGGCAGGCAGGCAGGCTGGCTGGCTGGCTGGCAGGCTGGCAGGCAGGCAAGCAGGAAGGCAGGCTGACAGGCTGGAAGGCACGCAGGCTGGTAGGCAGGCAGGCGAGCGGGTGGGCGAGCGGCCGGGCGGGCAGGCAGGCAGGCAGACAGGCTGGCAGGCTGGCAGGCGGGCAGGCGGGCGGTCAGGCAGGCAACCAAGCTGGCTGGCAGGCTGGCAAGCTGGCAGGCAGGAGGGCGGGGGGGCCGGCAGGCGGGCGGGTGGGTGGGCGGGCGGGCTGGCAGGCAGGCAGGCAGGCAGGCAAGCAGGCAGGCTGGAGGGCAGGCAGGCTGGGCAGGCGGGCAGGCAAGCTGGCTGGCAGGCAGCCTGGGCAAGCAGGCAGGCAGGTAGGCAGGCAGTCGGTGCAGGCAGGCAGGCAGGTAGGCAGGCAGGCAGGCAGGCTAGGCAGGCAGGCGGGGCAGGCAGGCAGGCAGGCAGGCAGGCATGCAGGCAGGCAGGCAGGCAGGCAGGCAGGCAGGCAGGCAGGCAAGCCGGCGGGCAGGCGGGCAGGCAGGCAGGCAGGCAGGAAGGCAGGCAGGAAGGCTGGGCAGACATGGCGTAGAATATTGCATGGCAGTGGGCATAGCAAGTTCTAGATGCTCACTGAATAAGCGGGGCACAAGGTGGAAGAAAGCGAGCAAGGGCGAGCAACAAGAACAACAACAACCAGGCTTATCACCGTCCCTGGAAAAGTAGGCGATAGTAAGCTCAAGAAAGAATCGGCTCCATCAATAGAAAGCTCAAGAAATAACAGGCTCCATCCGTAGTAAGCTCAAGCAATGTAACTTCAGGCTGCAGGCTTGGTGCGGATGGATGGATGGCCGCAAGGGGGCGACTTTACCTGAGTGAAGCAGGTGAGCAAGCGCCATCTGCACGCCACGGCAGTCACAAGCTAATCCCAAACAGAAGTGTTAAAGCTACGCAGGGAAGGGTTTGGTGAGGCAGGTATCGCGGGCCATGAGACGTTTTTTGTGGCGCCTCAAAAACCATGGCAGTGGCACACTATTTCCAAACGGAGGAGTTGTGCCACGCAGTGAAGGGGTTGGTGGCGCATGGAGGAGGGTATCGCGGGCGGGCGGTGAGGCTCACCTGAGTGAAGCGGGTGAGGGACATCTGCACGCCATGGCAGTCACACACTATCACCAATCGGCCCCCCTCTGTCTCCCGAAGCTCACCCCCTGGATCATGGAGCCAGGGTTAGTGGGGGGGGGGGGGGGGGGGGAAGGGGAAAAGCAAGGTTGTTGCGGAAGAAAGGAGGACAAAAAAACCCTTTTCAGGACTCTCTACTGTAACATGGCGATAGGGGATGATGCAGAATGAAAAGGGTTAGCAGGAGCTTGGAGGCGGTATAGAGACATAAGTGTGGGCGCAATGTGAAAGGGAACGGGTTAGAATTCAGCAGCACCCAGTAGTGACCCCATCCAGTGTCCAAAATTTTTATTGAGGTTTGCAGGTGTGAGAGCATAGGATAGCATGGCATACTAGCATAGCATAGCATACCAACAACATTGCCGGAGTAGCCCGAGCACATGGCTTGCACACGCTGCAACGCCCTTCCTCCTCCTTCCCCTGCTTCTCTCACTATCGCCCCCGCTCCTGCTCCTGCTCCCACCTCCCTTTCTGTTCGATCTCCTCCTTCCATTAACTTCCTCCATCCTCCCCCTCCCCCTCTCTCCGCCTCTCGACTTCCTCCCCCCCTCCCTTCTCCCCCTCTCCCTTCTCCCCCTCTCCCTTCTCCGCCACCCAAACCTTCTCCTGAGCATCTAATTCCATCCTCATCCAATGCACTCGCTGACCCTAGGACCTCCCGCTGGCCTCTCATCCCCCCCCCACCTCCACTCATCCCGCTCCCCACCCCTGAAAGCCCACCGCTTGCAATACCCAAACCACACCTGAGATCGCCACCACCGGCAGCACCAGTAGAAGCAGCAGCAGCAGCGGCCGGCCCAGCAGCACCACCAAAGCGAGGGGAAGTGGCAGCGACAGCAGCAGAAGCGAGCAGCCTCTGCTGCAGTGTCTCTGCTACGAGTGACTGAGCCACGAGCGTCTCTGCCACCAGTGAATGCGCCACCAGGGACCGAGCCTGTAGACCCAACCACCCATGGCCGCTCCGCCTTCCTCCTCCATCATTCCCTGCATCACAGGCCTCACTGCTCCTCCCCTGCATGGCATCGTTGCTCCCAGCCACGCCTGCGTTGCCCCACAAACTGTCGCTCCGTCGCTCCCTCTGTGCGGTAGCTCTCTGCAGCAGGGCACCTGTGTGGCGAGTACTATCGTTCAGCCCCCCCCCAAGCCTCCCAAGACTCATTTCCAACCCATCCGGATCATCGTGGGGCGACTTTTGACCCGACCCAAGCAGCCTCAGGCCCGGATCATCATGCTGCTGAGGCTCTTTTCCCATAACTCCGCCTCGCCCTCTGTCTACACCAATCCATTGTCCTCCTACTCCCCTTCCTCCTCCGCTTCCTCCTCCTCTTCCTCCTCCACCTCCTCCTCCTCCCTCTCCCCCTCCTACTGCATGCCCCCCTCCCTCCTCTCTCTCCCGATGCACCAATCTCTCACCCGCTGCCGCCCCTTGCTCCTCCTGCCCACCCAACCACCACGGCTGTCTACCACTGTGGATGCCAACACTGCCACTTTCACCTTCGTTGCAGGTATCACGGACAGCAGCAGCAGCAGCAGCAGGGGCAGCAGCAGGGACATCAGCAGGGGAAGCACTAGGGGCACTCCACCTATCACGGGCAGTATCAAAGATCGCTGAACTAGGCACACTGGTATCAGCAGCGGCAGCAGCAGCAGCAGCAGCTGCAACACGGGCATCACGAGCAGCCCTGGAACGAGCAATGTGACTGCCAATAGCATGAGTCGCAGCTTCAGGGGTATATGCTGCTGCTGCTGCTGCTGCTGCTACATCAAAGGCGGCAGTGTTAGCTGGAGCAGCATGGGCGGCCTTGAAAGGGAAAAGCGGGTGGGCGGGTGAAGTGGCACGCAGGGCGAGGCCCAGAGAGAGGCCAGGCACGGCTTCTGCACAGAAAGGACAGAAGCAGGGAGAGGTGGGGAGGAGGGGGGGAGGGGCGGGGGGGGGGGGGGGGGGGGAGCAGTATGTGGCAGGAGAGGAGGGCAAGGCAGGGGGCTTCGGTGCCATGTGCTATGGTGAGGATTCGAGATGTGATGAAGTATAGGTGCAGCGATGTTTTCGACTCAAGAGCAGGCGAGGACGAGCAGAGAGCGCCTTTGGTCGCATAGACATAGACTGCCGTGTTACAAGAAGCCCCACACACACACACACACACACACACATACATAGACATACACATCCACACACACAGACACACACACACACGCACACACACACACACACACACACACACACACACACATACACACGCGCACACACATACACATGCACACACACACACACACACACACACATACACACGCACACACACAGACACACACGCACACACAAACACACACACGCAAACACACATACACACACACACAGACACACACACACACACACATACGTACACAAACACACACAGACAGAGTCCGTGCAACAAGAGGCCGTGCACATACAGACGCACACACACACACACACACACACACACACACACACACACACACACACACACACACACACACACACACAAACACACAAACACATGCACGCAAGCCACATTCCAATGCATACACACGCGAACACAAGTGCAGATGCACGCACACGTGCCCCAAGAAGCCCGACCATGCAGCTATACCTATAGTCATCCTACTCATAACAACTATTGGGGCGGCTCATAACACGAATGCAGGTACATGTCTGGATGCGTGCTCCAAGAAGTCCTGCCATGCAGCTATAGCTTTCCCATCCCACCCACTGCTTTTGGGTCGAGTCAACAGCGGCTCTGGAGCTACAGTTATCCCATCCCATCCCATCCCATCCCATCCCATCCCACAGTGGCACACACACACGGCCTTACCCGTGCTCCGAACCTGAGCTCCTCCTCTTCCCCAGGCGTGGTGCAGCTCCTGCTGAGAGGGGGAGAGGCATGGATGACGCATTGAAGGGAGCGGGGACGGAGGGCGGGATTAGGGACAATTGATGCGTGCCAACGAGCTGAAAGCTCCCGGTGCGAGAGACAGACGGGGAGGCTGAATGACGGGAGCGAGGCACGGAGGGGACGTAAGGAGGGGGAGGTGGACGAAGGGAGGGAGACAGGCAACAGGCGCAGGAGAGGTAGAAACGCTGGGAAGCGGGGGAGATGGGTGGTGGAACGGCAAGGGGAAGGGGAGACCACAAGCACATGAGGGCGAAAGAGGGGGGAGGGGAAGGGAGGGGGAGGGGCGCATAAGGGGCAAGCAGCCACTGATGGAGTCAGAGAGGAAAGGTGCATGATAAAGTCAGAAGAAAGAGAGGACAAGGGAGGACAAGGGCAAAGATACCGCCAGCTCCTGGCCATCACGACATCAGCAGCTCACATACTGACCTCACGGGTGAGTCTGCTATGACCGGGTGCTGGCAAGTCGTTGTGTTTATCCGGCACCTCCCCACCCCGCACCTGGGCTTGCTGGTCGTTCGCCCATGGTAGCCGGAACGATTGAATCCTCCTCCGTAATTCCTCCTCCTCAACCTCCTCCTTCTCCTCCTTCTCGTCCTCATCTTGCTGCTGCTGCTGGCAATGCCGCTGCTGCACCTGCTGTTCCTGCTGCCGCTGCTGCGGCTGCGGCTGTTGCTGCTGCTGCTGCTGTTCCTTGTGCTGCTGCCAGTGCACCTGAATGGAGCCATGTCGCCCATCACTCGTGGTGACATCTACAGACGCTGATACTGGAACACAAGCGGACATGTTTCTAGAAGAAAAACTCAAGGGGATAGCATCCCCAATACCCTTCTCTATCCCTTCTGCAGCAACTGCTTCTGCTGCTGCTGATGCTGCTCCTGTTGATGTGTCCTGTCCTGCTAATCCGTCTGCTTCTGCCTTCTCATGCCCCATTCTTGCTTCGCTACTGCGGCCAGCAGCAAAGGCAAAGGCCGGGTGCTGGAGAAAGAACGCGAGGGCGTTGTGTGGCGGGAGAGGGACAACGTTATTGCTGCTCTTACTATTGATGTTGCTGTTGCTGTTGCTGCTGTTGCTGTTGTTGGTGTTGTTGTTGTTGTTGTTGTTGTAGTTGTTGTAGTTGTTGTTGGTGGTGGTGGTGCTGCTGCTCGTTGTGCCATGATAGATCTGTGAGGGTAAAGCCGCCGGATCAAAAGAAACTGGAGGGAGGAGGGCGAGTGAGGGGGAAGCCGGGGGGAGGGAGAGGTTTAGCAGAGCGGTTGAGAGAGTGACACCACGGGTATCGGGTGAGAAGACTTTCAGTGGGATGAGGTGACTCAAACCAACGAGGACAAGAAAGAAACGCTAGAAAGGGATCAGATGTCAAGCTAGGCTGGACGCAGTTGGTTCTTTACAAATCTTAAAAGCCAACTCAACGGCAAAGAAGCGGATCGTATAGGCAGGCATAAGCCAAGATAACTGGACCGGCTCCGCGCTCACTTGGCAGGAAGGAGGTCTCTGGCCGCCCTCCTTGCCGCCCTCCTTGCCTCCCTCCTTGCCTCCCTCCTTGCCGCCCGTTACGATCACAGGTTTCAACAGAGTGTGGCAGCAGCGTGGGTGCGTGAGCTTTTAGGGCGACCCTTCTTGGAGAGATTGCGAAGCTGTTGTTCATGCTGGGCAGGAATGAGTGCTGATGAAAGGGAGGAGAGGGGTAACGAGGGGCAGGAGGAGGATGCGAAGGAGGAGGAAACTGAAGGCTGGGGGATGTGCTGAGCAGAAAAGATGAGGATGAGGAGCACGACGATGGTGATGGCACTGCTGCTGTTGCTGCTGCTGCTGCTGCTGCTGCTGCTGCTGCTGCTGCTGCTGCTACTGCTGCTCCTGGGAGTGTGGCTACTGCTGCTGCTGGTGATGCCTCTGCTGGTGCGGCTGCTTCTGCTGCTGCTGCTGCTGCTGCTGCTGCTGCTGCTGCTGCTGGTGGTGATACTGGTCCCACTGCTGCAGATGTTGATGGTAGCGATGCTGACAATGCTGGCAGGGGAGTCTGCACAGCCAAAGGCCGCGATGAGCACGAGGAAGGGAAGTCCGTGTCACTCTGTGTGCTGCCTAGTCTCGGCCGTTTCCTTGCAGGGAAAGGAGTGGCATCCGTGGCAGTAGACCGGGGAAAACTGCGCGGCTGGAAGGATGTGAGCGGGCGGCGGCACAAGGGACGGGTTTCGAGATGGGTTCCAATATCGGACCTGGTTTTGGACCCGATATTGGTTCCGGGATCAGACATGATGAGAGAGGGGGGAGAAGCCTGCGGGCCATTCGCGGCATGTGAAACAGGTTGAGCAGCGGTGGTGGCGGTGGTGGTGTTGCCATTAGCACAAGGTGCATGAGAATCAGGATTGGCTAGATCTGTGGCAGCAGCAGTGGCAGGAGGGGCAGGAGAGGTGGCAGTGGTGGTGGTTCGAATGAAACGGGACTCCACGGGGATGCCAACTCCGAAAAGCCTGATTGAACTGCTAAGAGCTGTAGCGGTTTCCTTTGATGCTGCACAAGCAAGCACAGTAGGTGGGTCTGCAGAGGCAGCAGCAGCAGCAGCAGCACGAGAAGGCGATATGCACTTCTCCATTCTGAGTGAGAGGAAGGCCCAGCAACGGGTGGCACTTCTACTTGCGTATGAAACGCACACAGGTGGGAAAAACCAGAGCACGGAAGGGGTTCGAGCATGCAGCAGTGTGTGTTACTTATAAGAGTACTGCAGCTGCTCTGGAACCTGATTGGCACAGCTGGAACCTGATTGGCACGCACAGCTGGAACTTGATTGGCACACACAGCTGGAATCTGATTGGCACACACAGCTGGAACCTGATTGACACACACAGCTCGAACTTGATTGGCACACACAGCCGGAACCTGATTGGTACACAAAGCTGGAACCTGATTGGCACACACAGCTGAAACCTGATCAGAGCACACACAGCTGGAACCTGATTGGTACACAAAGCTGGAACCTGATTGGCACACACAGCTGGAACCTGATTGGCACACAGAGATGGAACCTGATTGGCACACACAGCTGGAACCTGATCAGAGCACACAGGCGGAGCAGAGGCTGAAAGTCCCTGGGGTCAGTTATGACTAGATTCCCTCAGGGTGTCCTCTGCAGCAGTATGCGACACAAGGAGAGCTAGGGCTGACTTGGATGCACAGCTTTGGACTTCCGGACAACTTGCTGGACATTTCCAGGGAAGTGGTAGAAGTAGTAGTCGTGAGCGCAAGAGGAGGACGGGCCGCACTGCAATATAAAAGGAGGAAGGACGACGAAAAGAAGGGGAGAACTTTAGGGAAGTGAAGGTATTCAGCGAGTGGGACGTACTGTAAAGGTAGGTTAGAGCAGGGAAGGAGGGCAGGAGGGGGTGAGAAGGGCGGGGTGTTGGCGGGGAGGGGGGGAGGGAGAAGCGGGGGAAGAGTGGGGGAAGAAAAGAGTGCAAGAGAAGGGGGTTTGGGAGAAAGGCTCTCTTTGAGAGAGACGAAGAGAGAGGGGGGGTTGGGAGGGAAGGTACAAGACATGTTTTTAGAGATAAAACCCCGTACAACATGAGAAGAGCGAGCGGAATTGCACATGGGGGGTTGCATGGGTCACTAACTTTGTTTGAATGTGACGTTTGGAAAGAGTATTTCCAAAACAACCTTTACTGCGTTTGAGGCATCTCCGAGTCATGTCGGTAGCACCTTTAGGGTGATTCAGAAAGCACCTCGGAAGCTTTCTGCCGTCCAAGTATCCCTGACGCATTAAACCCTAAATGGAGTTAGGGAATGGAAATCCTGGCAGGTCATTACCCACCCAAAGCCGGGATTTTCTCGCAGGAAATCTAGGGAAGAAAGGAACTTGGCCAGGACCGAAACTCAAGGTTCCACGATCTCACCTCAACATTTCTACGGTATCACCGTGATGGGACGCGAAAACCCACACGAAAACAGTTTGAAAACAGTTTTCCGGGGTTATGTTTTTTCTTGGTTCAAACAATCCACAGATTTTTCCTTCCGACGTTCTCACTTACTTATAAGTTATTAGTGGTAATGGCGATTCTGTCGCACCTCAACGAGTCGGTTGAAAGCGTGTCTCGCAGAATTGCCGAGGAGTGAGTTTCTACTGTTACTAGAGTCGTCGGGCTACTCCAACAATAGTATGTTGCCATTTTCCGAAAATAATGCCATCTTGAGACTTACAAGCTGCGTGACACGATGGCTACTACTAGCCGCATAGTTACTATAGGGCAGGCTTGGTGGCACCCTTGGAGGACGAGCCGTCGTTCTTGCGTGTTTGCGGTGTTGGGTTGGGATGGTTGCGTACATACGGAGCTATCTCACCCTGCCAGCCTCTCAAGCCTCACACGCGAAAATGGCACGCGAAAATACCAAGTGCAGGAAGGGAGGAAGAGGGGTGAGCTCAGCAGCAACAGGCAACAGCATCTCGTCCGCATTGCCTCTATCACCCGCATACAGTGACATCATTTCCTGATTCAGCCCGGCCTACCCGTGGCTCCAATGGAGCCAGTGATCTGGCGTTTGGGGTGATTGGGGTTCCATTTTCGGTTGGCATGGCATGGCATCAGTGGGCTCTTTTTCAGATTTGCCCGGACCTAATCTGGCCAATGCTTCGTGACCACACATGCTCCTCACACTCCTCCTCAAGAATTTGCCGTTGCGTCTTTGCCGCCAGCCAACCGGCGATGGCGCGTGGTTGAAACGGAAAGTGAGGAGAACAATTGGCCAGCTTCCTTCCCCCCAAGCAGAAATCATGTGACCGCATTTGATGCAGGTACCTGCCCGCAGAACCGCTGCCCAATTTGCGTGAAAATCCTCCAACCCACTTACTGTTTATTCTGGAGGAATTCTCAACATTGCCAGAATGAAACGATACATACTTCTGTACCCCCGAGTCGTCTTAGAAGTACATTTCCAGCTGTCCAATACATACTTCTTCTCCTTTATCCCCAGATTTGTATGCACATTGGAAATGTCAAAGCAGCCACACGCGACCACGGTAGGGGACACCGAGAGACGATCGCTGAAAACTTCTTTAAACCAGGGTAACAACAGAAATACCGTACGCATACATGCTGTAGATCGATCCAGCACCAACAGAGACACCTCATCAAAGGGATCATTTCCGGTGGAAGTACCCCTCCAAATTATGGAAAACCACAACGACGGTCGCAGGAAGCAGCCGTCAGAGTTGTGTGCATGCACTGATTTTACTTTTCAGAATTGTTTAAAAAAGCGTCCAAAAAAATAGAAATGTAGAACTATTTTCTCTGAGGCAATGGTTATGATGTTATGAAGATGGCATGTGGCATTGGATTTCTCAGCCACTGACCTCGCAATTTATTTTTTCTACAACCAATAGCACGCGTACGCATCAGACTCTGATGCACAGTCCCAACAGTGATGGTTCCATCATTGTTCATTACTCTGGGGACTGTACAAAGGTCTAGAGTGCCCCTGGGGATTAGCAAAACCAACGGAAAAGGCAATATATGAGAAACAAAGGCACAACGTTTAACGTAGATCATATGTGCACTTGTTCCACGTTCATTTGTTTTTTCTCACAACACGACTTCAAAACCCCAAACCCGACACAGTGGTATACAGCTGCCCGGCAATTAGCGGAACACGAGAACAGCCCAACAATTCGACGCTACCCTGCCCGAATGACATGACCTGGGGGCAGCTAGGTCGACTAGAGTACCCCTATTGGCATCGGGAGAGCTGCCAACCACATCCCAAGAGGTGCATATCAATATCAAAAACTAACATTCTTCTCAAGGTACGCAGATGCATGCACCCAAATCATGGCTTCAGGGAATCCATGCCTGCACGGAACCCACGCCAAGCCAGCACTGCAAAAGCGTTGCTGTACTCTAAATACACCAGATGCCTCTTTCAGACCGAATCGTATTCAAGCGGATGCTACCTAATCACGCCTACATTTTTTTCAAGCTTATTTTGGTTACCAATTTAACTATCTGTGTTATGAATAATAACTGAGATTGCGCGGAATAATGATGACGAGTACAATAATGGGAGCCTAGCATTACATAGCAAGAACCCTAGCTAGGCGACGAGATCGGAGGGCTAGGTTGGGTACAGGTGCGGTCGAAAGGGCCGGAGGTGGCGCGAGCCAGCCTCGGGGTCGCGTCGGAAACGAGCCGAGCCTGGTCTTCCGAGATTTCGGGTGTACAAGATTGCATTACAACCCGGTAAGGAATAAAATTCCTTACACTACCCCCCCCCCCCCCCCTCCCCCCCTCATGAGGAAGGTGGTCACTGCCGGAAACGCATTTTCTGATCAAATAAGATTTGAGCACCGATTGTTTCTCAAGCAAGTTGGAAGTGACCCACGTGTCTTCTTTGCTTGTACAGTTGGCCCAGCGGACAAGAAAATCCAGGTGGCGTCCTGTGTTGTCGAGGCGGACGCGGTGACTCAAAAGCCGGAACGGCTCAAGGGTCAGTTCGGCCATCCTGCGAACACTTGGGACGGTCGTTGGTCGTGCGAATGCCGACGTGCTTGTGACGTAGGGACGAAGGAGGCTGACGTGGAATGCGTCGTGTATGCGCCACTCGTCCAGGAGTAATACTGTCGTCGTAACTGGTGTCATCATTTTGAGGATGCGGAAAGGCCCACAGAATCTTGGGTGGAGTTTGGATGGCAGGGGTAGGCGGGGGCTCTTCGTGTCTAGAAGGACTTGTTGCCCAGCGGCCATCGTAATATTTCGGCGATAAAACTCGGTGTAGCATCGTGGTGTTGTGTTGGACTTGCGAATAAATTTGATCGCTTTCTCCCGGGCGGTTTGTAGGTCGTTAACAAACTGCTGGGAACAGAGCACAGGGTTGTCAAGGTTAGTTGTCGTGGATACGGTGGGATCCATCCAGTAGTTGAGGAAGAAAGGGGAGTGATTAGTCGTTGCTGATGGGGCGTTGTTGTAGGAAAATTCGAGCATGGGCAGGAATTCTTCCCACCTGGCAGGATCATAGCAGTTGGTGCGTATCAGTTGCTCCATGGTCTGATAGGTGCGCTCGGTCTGTCCGTCGCTTTGTGGGTGGTAGGCGGACGTGAACTGCAGGCGGGAGACGTACTGTTCCCATATTTGTTGCCACAACTTGGACGTGAACTTGGGGTCGTGGTCGCTGATCATCGTCGAAGGTAGGCCGTGTAGACGAACAACGGTGGAGATGAAGAGGTTGGTTGTTTCTTCGACTGTGATTATCGTATGACAGAGTGCAAAATGCACCATTTTCGTCAGGCGATCGACGACGAAGAGGACGGTATCATTGCCACTTGCGCCGGCCGGATGTCCCCTGACGAAATCCATCGCCACGTGTTGCCACGGTTTTTGGGGTGGCTCAAGCGGTTGAAGCTGTCCATTTGGCCGTTGTCGAGAGGACTTTATGCGCTGGCAGATTGGGCACGCTGATACGTACACTGAGGGAAAAAACCGTCCGGATGTTTGGCAATAAGTTGGGTTTTTAGGCTTTGAGACTACTGTATGGTAAACCTGCAAGATGCACGGTGGTACATGTTGGGAGAGGCACAAAGTGGATGCGTTCACAGCACTAAGAACTAGAATAGTACATTGGATCTAACTCATACTCCAAAAGATATACAACGAGTACATCCGGACAGTTTTTTCCCAGGACAAAGAGCAAACTTCCGAACAACGTTTCTAGTACCTAGTCCACCTACTCTTGGCGTTGATCACCATCCACACCCTCCTAGGCATGTTATCTATGTGGTTAGTGCAGACCTTTGCATGAAGCTTCTTGCACTCTTCCTTGACCCACCATTTTGCATAAGGGGGTGAGCACAAGGAAAATTGCGAAGTATTTGAGCGTATGCATAAGTATTGTGCACGAATTCAGATTGAATGTAATCTCTGAGACTAGCCAAGCCGAGGGGTGTCCAAAGATGCCATTACTTGAATGGTCCCGGCTTATCATGGGTTGTTTTCGTCGAATCAGAGTAGGGTGAAATCACGTATAGAGTGGCAAAATCTAGCATACCCGCCACGAAACTTAGGGTAACCGAGCACGGTCGATTGAGCATCCTTTCATTGTTAGAATCATGTTAAAATCCGCGAGTCTAGTGACAGTGCATCAGTTGAAGAAGTCTCGACTGTTTGGGAAGAATATCAGGGTTGAGGTCTGGTGAGGAAGAGGGGCACTCCAGAGCTACATATCCATGCTCTCCGAGCCATTCCAAGCCTAGGCAGGGAAAATGACATGGAATGCCTTGGAGAGCATAAGTATGTTGCGCTGGAGTGACCCTTTTTCTCACCAGACCTCAATCCAGATATTCTTCCCAAACAGTCGAGGTTTCTTCGACTGCTGCCCCGTCACTAGACCCGCGGATTTTAACATGGTTCACACAGTGAAAGGATGTTCAGTCGACCGTGCTCTGTTACCCTAAGATTCGTGGCGGGAATGCTAGATTTTGCCACTCTATTCGTGATTTTACCCTAGAACGATACGACGAAGACGACCCATGATAAGCCGGGACCATTTAACTAATGGCATCTTTGGCCACCCCTCGGCTTGGCTAGTCTCTGAGATAACATTCATTCAGAATTTGTGTACAATACTTATGCATACGCTCAAATACTTTGCAATTTTCCTTGTGCTCACCCCCTTATGCAAAATGGTGGGTCCAGGAAGAGTGCGAGAAGCTTCATGCAAAGGTCTGCACTAACCCCATAGATAACATGCCTAGGAGGGTGCGGATGGTGATCAACGCCAAGAGTAGGTGGACTAGGTACTAGAAACGTTGTTCGGAAGTTTGCTCTTTGTCCTGGGAAAAAACTGTCCGGATGTACTCGTTGTATATCTTTTGGAATATGAGTTGGATCCAATGTACTATTCTAGTTCTTAGTGCTGTGAACGCATCCACTTTGTGCCTCTCCCAACGCGTACCACCATGCATCTTGCAGGTTTACCATACAGTAGTCTTAAAGCCTAAAAACCCAACTTCGTGCCAAACATCCGGACGGTTTTTTCCCTCAGTGTATGTGTACGCATCAGACGCCAAATCTGGCCAATAATAAAAATGGTGTAATAATTTCTCGGTTTTATCAACCCCGAAATAACCGAAGATATTAGAAGCATGGACTTCTTGAATCAGTAATTCGCGGAGGAGTCGGTAAATGGGAACCCATATGCGGTCAGTACCGGCTTTTAGGAAATAGATTCCTTTGGCCATGGTGGCTTGCTGGTGGAGGTTGCAGGTAAAAAATGGGTCTGTGTCGTATCCGTAAATAAATAGTCCGGTGAGTAGTAGGTTGGATTTTCCAATGATGATGGAGGCGAGGTGGGCAGATGGTTGTGTAAG